CGCCATCACCACCACCTGTACCTGAACCGTCAGTACCAGATCAATCGGTGGATGAGCTGAAATCTCTTTTATATGCTAAGTTGATGGCTTCTCAAAGCGAAGACGCGGAAGATGGAGATTTGGTTGGTCTTCTCCGTCAACAAAATAATACTAACCCTGTAATTAGAGTCTCAGAGTTCTTGACTTTTCAGGATGTGATTAGTGCTAATTTCTCTAAAGTTAGTAACTTGATCACATCTAATACCCTAGATCTGAAACGTTCAATGGATGCTCTTGTCGAAAGAGTATCTATACTTGAAGAAACTTGCAAGTCTCAAGCCGAATCTCTTAAACGAAGACATGACGATCAGGATGATCCTGATAGTCATGAGGGGGAGAGGAAAAGGTAGAGATTGGCTGAGACGTCTATACAAGGTGCAAGGATGAGTGAAGAGTCACTACCTCAGGACGTAACTGCTGAAGCATCTGCCCCGAAAACAGTTCGGGAAAGAATAAWTGAGGCTGTTGTTATTGAAGACGAAGATGTGGAGACAAGTCCAAGGATCGAGCCAATGGTTGAAAAGTCGGCGGACTCCACAGTAGAAACAAGGTTGTTAATGGACTTGTCTGCCAATGTGGGATTCAACAGTATTTTCTCTACTACCTTGGATGGAGAGCAGGATTTTGGATAAGATGTTGATAACATTGACGAGTCAACTGGAATGTATTTTGACTTTGAAGCTGACTTAGATGAAGAAGATCCAGTTTTTCCCGTTCAAGGTGATCCTCAGTCTATTCCAGAATCATGTATTGCTGCTTTACTTGATGTGCCTGAAGTAAGTGCTCAAAGAGAAACTGTTGATCCTACCGAGATCTTCACGAAGAATTACATCCTTTTCCATATCAGAGCAAACTTCTTTGGTTATGATCGCGAAAGAATCCGAGAGCCATACTTGGAAGATATCTACTTTGGGATCTTCATTCGTCACAGAAAATTGCTTAGTGGTGACAGAGTTCTTGGGATTCACAAAAAGCCAAAAGAGTACCGAATTGAATATTGTCACCTTCTAAAAGCCAAGTGCCAACCAGTCAGTGAAGTACGAACCAAGCACCGAATTGTAACGATAAAACAGATAGATGCTCAGAAGTTATTGAGAATTTGGTATCATGTCTTCACTTTTACCAGACAGGATGGCCAGATTTGGAGGTTTAGCGAAGCTGACTTCTCGAACTTGTATTTGGATGACCTTGAATACATGTTCTTCGAACTCAAAAACATGACAATTAGAAAAGAAGGAGAATTAGTAGCTCTTGAAGCCATCAAGAGATTCATTCGATGTCATGTAAAGCTGGCAATGGTCATAGATATTCAAATGGGTCTTGAAGACAATCAACGCATTATCAACCTCAAAAGACCAAACCAAGAAATTGAAGACATTGACGGCTATCCAGTTTACATGGTTCTTGAGAGCCCAAAGTTCGGGGTCATCTACTATGCTCAACTTCAAGTCAAAAAGTTCATGAGGTTCAGCGAGTTGAACAAGTATTCTGACGGTACGATCAAGCTTGTAAGAAGGGCACTGGATTTGAAGAGGGTGATCCTCGTCAATGCCATAAATTTGCTCGAGGAGAAGATTCAGTATAGAAATGCTCTGAGAAGGTTAGAGAAAATCCTTGGACTGCGCAAAACGATGTTTACAAGAGTCCAAACTTGAATCCAAAGGGGGAGAATGTTGGGTTCAAGTTAGTGCTTTAAAGTTGTATTCAAGTTTCTCATTAGTGTAGTTTCCTTGTAATAGCTTAGCCTTTACAATTTCCTAGTATAAATAGATTTTACCTTGTAATTGTAATAAACCTTTTGTCATTAATCAGAAGATCAAGATTTGCTGATGTAATATTCTCTCTCTCAATCTAATCATCTTATTGACAATCTTCTCTCTACCTTTATGTTCATCATGATCTATGAAGATTATATCATGTTTGTATGAAATCTGGACTCATCACTAACAATCAATCTTCTTGAAAGCTTCAATCAACAATGGCAAATTTGTGTTTTCTTCAAGAACAATATGAGAGGATAGAGAGAGAAAGTCAATACTCAATATATGGTCAAACTTTTATACGTAAATTTGATATTACAATATGGCTCTCTTTCTAAATTTACAAAGACATCACTCTTTATATAGGGTAAAACTAGACAAAATAGTCAAAGTCAAACTATCCTAATAAAAGTCAAACACGATGACTTTTATACAATTATAGACAAAATTAACTTTCAAGACGAATACAATTTTACATTTATTCTCAGTCCTAACATTCTCCTCCTTTGTATTCAGACTTGAAAGAATTTTCGCGCGTTGAACCTCGTTTGATCTTTGGAGCTTTAAGCCCACTATGTCTTCTTCAAAAACCAACTTCAACTCGAAATCTCCAGACAATCATTTGTTGAGAAAGATCTTCTAACATTCTCCCCCTCGAATGTAGAACAATGATGATCTTCTCTTTTGATAATGTAGATCAGAAACAATAACAAACTTCAGAGTTGATCTTCAGTTAACTGTTGTAAAAATGGATCTTCACATTCAACATCTCTCAGTCATTTTAGCATCGGAATAGTTTTCTGTAATCATCTCCAGTCGCACTCCTTTTGAGTCTTTTGCCATTATTGAAGTTACTCCCCCCAGATCTTTACATCAAATTTGTAACATACACTTTCGCAAATACGTTCTAATTATCCCCTTTATACGTGTTTATGTGATAAAAACGTAAAATTTGGAACCAAACCTAAATGCAATAAACTATATATGAAATAGTTGGAATCATTGTACGAGACCCGGGGCAAAACAATTGGAAAGAAACGGGTCAAAAGCATCAATATCTACGTTACGAATACATAAAAACTGACTTTTATTGGAAGATATTTTTTGAAATATTTCTATTGTAAGTTGTAGATTATCTCTTTACGAACGCGTGAGCAAAAATCACGTCAAAAACGGAAGTCCGAGCGAAAAGTTATGCGATTTTTAGTGATTAGTGGTCAAACCGAGTTTTCAGCCGAGTCAACTCAGCCCCAACTCGTAAAAGTCGGATATACATGTTATTTACCTTCTTTTTCACCCAAAACAGACTCTCATCTCCAAAACATACTACCAGGGGCGATTTTGGCTTCATAGGGGTGAATCAAGGTTGTTTCAAGGGGTTTTTGCTTGATTTTTATGCCAAATTCGTCCTCCAATTAAGGTATAACTATTTCATTGGTTAATCTCTTGATTCGAAGCTAGTTAGAGATGAAATCAATGAAACCTAATCTGAGTTATATTTGTAATATGTTGTATTTAGATTAGTTATAGCCTAACTAAGTTGTTATGATGCTTGATTGATGATTTGGAGCTTTCGAAAATGAAGAACATAGGTTGAACTTTGATTTTCTTCATTAATGGCTATTTTGGTGAAATTCTTGAGTATTGATCTGGTAATCAATAATATAAATATGGTTAGATGGTATTTTGATTGTTGGAATAAAGATAGAATCCAAAATATGGATTTTAGCCTATTTAGTTGGTGAATTTGACAGCACTGAATCTATCCGAGATGTTGTTTTGAATGTGCGATAACTTCTTAACCGTAGCTCGGATTGCTACGATTCTGGACATTTTAAAAAGATTATATGTAGATCTAAACCTATCCTTTAGACACTTTTAAGAAATAAGGCTTCTAGGTTAGTTATTATTGTGTCTAGAAACTGATAAAAAGTTGATTTTGAGCTGTGACTTATAGTGCCTAAAATGAGTTTAAATTAAGTTTGGTTAAGTTTTTGTTGTCGGATCTTATGAAACTTTGGGTACATATTACAGGTGTTAAATAAGTTCACTTGGTCCTTCTAGAGTGACCGTTGGACGATGTTTAGACATATATGGACGTATAACCTAAGTTGGCTCGATTTTTGAGTATCGAAAAGCATTGTGAGTTTATGGGGCTACTTAACTTGCTATTTGCTAGACATGTGTTATCTATTTGTTACTTGCTTCCACACTCATCCATGTTATGTCTCGTAAATATTATATCCCGTTTGCTTTCCAATGGTTTACAAATGTAACTTCAATCTGGTATCATTTATGTAATCTGGGTCTTTCAATTTGGTATCAGAGCGGTGGTTTAAGTGAACTGGATACCAGCGACGGTATCCGAACTTAAACCTTGTGTCGGTATCATGTAGTAAGTATGTTTTGATTTAAACGAGATATGAACCTAGGAGAAACCTAGGTGGGAATTGGGAATTTGTTATAGGATTCTATTTAATGTTATGTGTATGTCGTAACTTTCAGAAAGATGGCCGACGGTGATGAAACTAGTCACACCCCATCTAACGATCATGTAAGAGAAAATGCTCCACACCTGGAGATATTATGATGATGAGGAACCGATGTCTCCTCGAAGCAAACGTTTGATGCAATGTATGACTTTATTAATTCAGCAAACATTAGCCCAACAACGACATGACGATAGAAAGTCTGAAGATGATAAAAGTAAAGGTAAGGAGAAAGAAACGACTGACACCTCAAAACCCAATACTGACCGAGTCTCTTTTAAAACCTTTCGTGGTAGCTGTGCTACTGAGTTCTTTGGGAAGGTTGATCCGTTGGAGGCACTTGAATGGATATTGAATACTGAGAAGGTCTTTCGTATCACCCGAGTGCTATGTGATGATAAAGTGAATTATGCCACGACCATGTTCAAAAGTAGGGCCTTGATATGGTGGAATGCTACTTTTGCAGCTTTAGGTGAAACTGAAAAAGAAGGTATGCCTTGGGAGTCTTTCAAAACTCGTTTTAACAAGCAATATTGTCCAGTTGATCTACAAAAACGATTGGAGAAGGAGTTTCTTGATCATATTCAAGGAAAGATGTCAGTGGTGGACTACGAGACCGAGTTCAATCATAAAGCACAGTTTGCCACATGTTTCTTGACTACAGAACAGGAACGTGTAGACCACTTTATAGACGGATTGCGATCAGAGATTCGAGACGTCGTCGCCAATCGTGACATTTCAGAGTTTGAGAAAGCGGTGGAATCTGCACGACGGCGCGAACACGATTTGACCAGCTCGGATCGTAATCTAGCTCCGCCAGCCAAACGACCTCGAATTGAAGGTGCCATATCTGCACCAACACATCAGTTTTCTAGGAATTTCAATCCGAGATATGCTCAATCCCAAGCTAGATCGCGACCTCAATCTTGGTCCCAAGCTTATAGCCTTCAGTCAAATGCTCCTCCACCCTGTTCTATTTGCGGTAAGGCTCATCGGAGCCGATGCAACACTGTTCGCCCTGAAGTTAGATGTCATGGTTGTGGTGAAGTTGGACACTTGAGACCGAACTGCCCAAGGAGGGATATGACATGCTACTCATGTGGTGCTATAGGCCATCTTCAAAGAGAATGCCCTCGATCTAAACCTGAGGAAAGTAAGGCTTCTGTTCGCCGACCTTCTACTAGTGGTGCTGCTCGTCAAAAAAAGGAGGTACCGCGCGTCCAGGCCAGAGCTTTTCAAATCATTGCTGAGGAAGCTCGAGATAAGCCGGATGTGGTTACGGGTATATTTCTCGTTAATTTTCATCCCGATCATATCTTATTTGATTTTGGTGCTACTAATTCATTTGTTTCTCATACGTTTGCTCGATGTTTAAACTTTGTGCCATATGTGCTTGCTAAACCTTTTTACGTTGACACTACTGATGGCACATCTATGCTAGCTGATAAAGTTTACAAAGATTGTGTGTTGCAATTAGATGAGCATGAGTTTTTCGTAGATCTTGTACCGATGGATATCCATAGCTTTGATATAATTATTGGTATGGATTGGTTGGCTAAGAATCRGGCTGATATTTTGTGTTTTCAACGCATAATCCGTATACCGAACAACGTCGACTATTTATATGTTTACGATGAAAAGCGTAAAGGGGACGTAAAGTTGATTTCTACACTTAAAGCTCGAAGACACCTATCTAAAGGTTGTTCTTCCTATTTAGCCTATATTTTTTATGCGTCGAAAAAGGTAAAGAAAACAGTTAGTGACGTACCGATTGTGTGTGAATTTCCGAATGTATTTCCCAAGGACTTACCCGGTTTACCTCCTGATAGACAAGTTGAATTTCGAATTGACTTAATTCCTGTTGCAACGCCGATTGCTAGGACGCCATATCATCTGGCTCCGGCTGAAATGAAAGAAATGTAGAATCAACTGCAAGAACTTCTCGATAAAGGTTTTATCCGACCAAACACTTCTCCTTGGGGTGCTCCAGTACTATTTGTCAAGAAGAAAGACAGTTCAATGCGTATGTGCATCGATTACCGTGAGTTAAACAAAGTAACGATCAAGAACAAATATCCACTTCCATGTATCGATGATTTGTTCGACCAATTGCAAGGTGCGAGTTACTTCTCTAAAATTGATTTACGGTCGGGTTATCATCAACTGAGAGTGCGTGAAGAAGATGAATCGAAAACGGCTTTCCGTACACGTTATGGCCACTATGAATTTTTAGTTATTCCATTCGGTTTAACTAATGTACCTGCAGCGTTCATGGATATGATGAATCGTGTGTGCCGGCCAATGTTGGACAAATCTGTGATCGTGTTTATAGACGATATTCTTGTATATTCCAAATCTGAGGTGGATCACGTGAAGCATTTGTGTGAGATTCTTGAAACACTTCGACAAGAGCGTCTATCTGCTAAATTTTCGAAATGTGAATTTTGGCTACGTCAGGTGCAATTCCTAGGTCACACGATTTCTTATGACAGTGTGTCGGTTGACCCGTCCAAAGTTGAAGCTGTAAAGAATTGGGAGCAACCTAAGAATGCATCTGAGATTCGTAGTTTTCTTGGACTCGCGGGTTATTATAGACGATTCATACGGGATTTCTCTAAAATTGCCATGCCTTTAACTTCATTGACCCGGAAAGATGTCAAGTTCGAATGGGGTGAAGCTCAAGAGAATGCTTTTCAGGTGTTAAAGCTTTGTTTGTCAGATGCTCCTGTTCTACCTTTACCAGAAGGTAGTGACGACTTGGTAGTTTACAACGATGCTTCTAAACTGCGTCTCGATTGTGTTCTTATGTAGCGAGGCAACGTAATTGCATATGCGTCGAGACAGTTGAAAGATTATGAAAAGAACTATCCAACTCATGATCTTGAGTTGGCAGCGGTCGTTTTTTGCACTAAAATTATGGCGCCATTACTTATATGGTACCAAATGTCAACTATTCACAGATCATAAGAGTTTGAAGTATATCTTCACTCAACAAACTTTGAACATGAGGCAACAACGAGCCATGG